TGTGTGTGTGTGTGATGGATCGTTGGAGCTATGTGCAACTCAAGGCATATGCTCGAACGGGAGCTGCCTGGACGCTGCAATCATGTTGCACTATCCGTGCTGAGTGTGCTGACTGTTCCCACAATGTCCCGCTGTCTGGCTGCCTGCATAAAGTCAAGAGCTCGGCGCAGTTGTCGACGAAATGTCGCTCCTCTGTTTTAACGCGTTAACTTGACAGCCCTAATTTTAAAAAATGTTTTTAAAAAAAATGTTTAATGTTTTTTTCAATATTTAAAAACGATATAAATAAATCTAATTAACCGCATTTTTAAAATGTCTTACAATAGCGCTTTTACTTTGACAGCCTGAAATGGCCATAGCACTTCCTGCTGTAGTTTCCAGTCTGCAAACACATGTTGACCTCAGCTGAGTCACAGTTTAAACCTGAATGAGTGTAAACACTCCCTCAGGTCGTTGCCCTCCTCCCTCTCTCCTCCCTCTCTCCTCCCTCCTTCCCTCCTCCATTACTTCCTCTCTTCTCTCTCAGGTTTTATTCTCCGTGGTAGCGGCGCCATGTTGACGTCTGTTTGTGTTCTCCGGCTGACGCTCGGCGTCCTGCTGCTGCAGCTGATCGCCGCGCACCAAGGTACCTCATTTACATATTACAGGCTCATTTACATAATCCAGGTGAGAAGGGGGGGGCGGGGGTGTGTGTTGTTGGTAGAGGGGGGTTGTGTTGACCCTTGACCCCGTCCAGTGTGCTGGGTTTAGCTCAGAACAGAAGGGCTGAAATTATTTCCATTTTCTTGTAATTTTAAGGTTTTATTACCAGATAAATTATAGCTACGAAGATGGGCGATGTTGTTTTTTGGCGTCCAGTTGGTGGTTGCTGCGCCTTTCGGTTTACACGTTGAAACATCGAGGTGTGGCGCCTGTTTCTCTAAAATGCTTCTCATTGGGAGTGTCTACAAAAGGGTCTTGAGTGGAAATGTCAAAGGTTTTAAGAGTTATTACAAAAAGCACTTGTAGAAACGCTAACTGGTGAAGATATTGGAATCATTTTCAAAAATAAAGCGTAGGCCTAAGGTGTCCTTATGGCTAACGCGGCTAATGTGGCTTACGTGGCTAACACAAAGCTAACTTGGCTAACAAAGCTAACACGGCTAACATGATTACCCAGTTTACTCTAACGTGATAGAATTGTGATTTGAGTGTTTTCCAGAGACGTACCGATGTTTGTGTTTCAGTGTTTCTGGACGGCGACTCGGCGCGGCAGCTCCTGAGCCGCCGGAGACGAGCCAACAGCTTCCTGGAGGAAATGAAGCAGGGCAACATGGAGCGGGAGTGCCGGGAGGAGCGCTGCGACTGGGAGGAGGCGCGGGAGATCTTCGAGAACGAAGACAAAACGGTGAATATCTCCTGAAACTCAAACACCACGAACACTTCAGAGATCTGATTCACTCTCAGGGACAGCTAGCACTGAGGGTCGTTGTTGGCGGTACAGCTTCTTAGGAATCAACAGCAAACATTCAACATGTTATTCAAAGTTGCCAGGTTCAGATATTGATAAAAAGATTCCCAAAAAACCTTCATTACCTATTTTTCCACTCATGGTTTGAGTTGAAATATTTAATTCTCTGATTTATTGTTTTCAGAATGAATTCTGGGCCAAATACGTTGGTAAGACCTTTGTTATTTACTCTACCTATAGAAGCATCTGGTTCTTTTTAACATCAATCTTTCAATATGTGTGAAGCAGGAAATGTACCAAAGAAAGCAGGAACTGAGTTGTTGTTGTTGTTCAGATGGCGACGCCTGCCTGTCGGTGCCCTGCGCTCACAATGGAGTGTGTAAAGACGGGATCGGCAGCTACACGTGCTACTGCAAAGACGGGTACCAGGGCTTCAACTGTGAGATCGGTACGGACCGCCAAACACTTCAACAAACACATCAACAAACACATCAACACCAAAAACATCAACACCAAACACATCAACACCAAACACATCAACACCAAACACATCAACAAACACATCAACAAAAACATCAACACCAAACACATCAACACCAAACACTTCAACAAACACATCAACACATCAACAAACACATCAACAAACACATCAACACCAAACACATCAACACCAAACACATCAACACCAAAAACATCAACACCAAACACATCAATAAACACATCAACACCAAAAACATCAACACCAAACACATCAACACCAAACACATCAACACCAAACACATCAACAAAAACATCAACACCAAACACCAAAAACATCAACAAACACATCAACACCAAACACATCAACAAACACATCACCGCCCTCGAGACTGATGCTAGTGATGCTATCACTGCTTCCTTTAAACTGATGCTAGTGATGCTAACACTGCTTCCTTTAAACTGATGCTAACACTGCTTCCTTTAAACTGATGCTAGTGATGCTAACACTGCTTCCTTTAAACTGATGCTAGTGATGCTAACACTGCTTCCTCTAAACTGATGCTAATGATGCTAACAGTGCTTCCTCTAAACCAGGGGTCGGCAACCCGCGGCCCACGGGCCGCATGCGGCCCTTTAAGCCCTCTGCTCTGGCTCCCTTGAGTTTAGACAAAAATAAGAAGGAAATAAAATAAAAGTATTTGTAGGACTATTTATATTTTGTTGCACGGTTGAAAATGTTTCGTATCTTGTATTTTGAGGTGATACTGTGACACATAAATAAAAAACAAAACGGTTTTAATTAGGTCAACTAAAATATG